GTGCTAAAACTTGTTATCTACCCTGTCAATTCCCAAGTATTTTGTATGTGGTGATCATGTCTCCCCGAACTCGTGTCTTCCAGCGACGTGAGATGCAATTCAGTCTTTCCTCATAACTTATACCTCTTAGTGTTGGAACTTGTCTAGTGGCATAAATTTAAACCCTTCTCCAGCTTCGTCTTATGCTCGACAAAGTATGGACTCTAAGCTGGAGTCGCGTACTCAAGGATTGGCCTTGTGCGGTATAAAAGGTTTTAAATGATTCCTTACACAAGCTTCTAAGGCAGTTCTGATGTTAGCCAGCCTTATGTGTGTAAGAGAAAAGTATGTAGTAGATATAATAGAGGAAAAAGTAGAGGAAATATAATAGATATAATTAATAAGAGTAGATATAATAGATATAAATAATAGAGTAGATATAATGGAGGAAAAAGTGCGCACACACACACAGTATATTACAGTCATGCCTAATAGCCAAAACTGAATTGCTAGGTCTAGTAAGGAGAGACCCTTTGCGTAACATCCAGAGCAATTTTATACATTTTTAAATATTTATTTTTAAATTAATTTTGTCATTAATAATATTAGCATATATTAACAACATTAATTACTATCCTAGTGTTAGACAGTACTGAAGAAGAACATTTAGGCTAGGCCACATTGTTAAGCAAGCTTTGCGTCACTAAATTAGACAATATCAGTTCACAAGTTGTCTTAAAATTTGTGTATGAAATTCAGTTTGTTAAGCAGCTCTATTATAAAAAATGAAATATTTTTAATGTCATGCCTAATATCCAGGGTGCCTAACAAGCCAAATTTTCTTACGATAATATTTTTGAAAAGTATAATGCTTATGTTTTCATTACACACAAATATGCATTATAGTTTTGGCTCTAAAATAAATCTAACTTAAAAATCTGACTTAGGCAGTACGTATTGTGAAAACAGTATATTTAGCTATGTGGCCAGATTTACCAGTTAGAAACTCGTGTTGTTCATGTAATGTTTTGTTATTAGCAGTGAAATATTTTGTTTTAAATAAATTTGAAAATATAGTATGTAAAATGTCTCTCTTACTCGGCAAAGTAGTGGTAATATCTGTTAATGGCAGGTGAGGATGGGGGTGTGGAGGAGGGGGTTGTGTAATACACACATACAAGCATATACGCACACACACAAACAGGCACGTGCACACACATACAAGCATGCATACACACACACACACACACACATGTACAAAAGGAAGTTGAGGACAAAAATCAGGGCGGTTAAGACTTATTAAGACTTACAGTAATGTTGCAGTTGTACACACCGTCTTTCATCCATTACGTGGAGAAGACTTATCAGAAATGTAACACAAAATACACACAATTAAATGTTTAATTCTAATTACAAAACACCTAATATAGATCCTATCTTTAAAATTAATTCATATTTAATGTTTTTATAAGGCGTTAGACAGAACATAAAAATAATTATAGTAGTTACATAAGACTGCAGATTATATGTATTGTGACTGGTCAACTTGGCCAACAATGAATGAAAGTTATGCAATATATACATATACACCGTATGTATATAATTCTAAATTCAAATATTTTGTGTTACTACAGTACTAATATTCAAGAAACTTACAAGAATTTTAAAATTCAGTACAATCTCATGTTGTACATATATGCATTACCTATTAAAAAAACGCCAATGATTTTAAAATAGTTATGAGTTATGACTTTATGAATAGTTATAAATAGTTATGACTTTTCTTTTACTATCTGATTATAAAAAACATAGGTAAGTATCAGGATTTTTAGAGCCTTGGGTGCATGATTCACAGTACAGTTGATTAAACACAGTTTGTGTTGGAGAAACAAATAGATGTAAACGTTTATACTTTTTTTTTTTAACAAACTACAGTAGTTAGCCTCATTGTTTTATTCAGTAGCTCATTACACTTATTTTCTTACAAATCTCAAGTACTCTTTGTTAGGCTTTTAAATGCAAAAATTGCTTGGTGTTTAAATTTCTAACAGATGTTAAATAACTAAACAATTTAAAAAATATTGTAAATATTGTATATGCATTATATTAGAGTAAGTTTTATAGAAATCTGCATTAAAAAAGCATGGCTTTCATGCTATCACTTCTCCACACGGACAACCAGCACAAACATGTCAATTTATACACCACACAACAACTTTACGCTCACATATATTATTTAGCCCTTCACAAATGCTATACAAAATCAAGTTCATGGTTTGTTAATTTGTATTAAACTTTATTGAATATAATAAAAGTAAATAATATTCAATATTCAAAAGTCTCTGCTCTCCTCAAACATGTCCCTTTTTGCTTTATTTTATTTATTTATTTGGTGTACACAACTGCAACATTAACATCGAGTAAACACCCAAAAACCAATGATGCTTATATGGTTAACCTCATACCACAGACTAATATTTGGAACTTCGTTTGTGGACATGCACGAATAAATGAGTGTGTGTGTGTGTGTATGTGTGTGGTGTAATTATCCAAGTGTAGTGACATCATGAGAGCTACGCTTGTGGTGTCCTGTCTTCCCAGTACTCTGTCATATAACGCTTTAAAATCCACCGACGGTTTTGGCCTCCACCACCACCTCACTTAACTTGTTCCAACAGTCTACTACCACTGTTTGCAAAAGAAAACTTTTGAATATTTTACTGCACTTTTGTTTCCTTAGCTTGAATCCATGTACTCTTGTTCTTGAAGTTACTGGTTTCAGGGATTACTCTTAGTATTTTGTAAGTAGTGATCATATCACCTCTTTCTTCTATTTTTTTCAAGCTTTGGCGCGCGTGTGTGCGTGTGCATGTGCGTGCGTGCGTGTGTGTGTGTGTGTGTGTGTGTGTGTGTGTGTGTGTGTGTGTGTGTGTGTGTGTGTGTGTGTACATACTCATCCACATAAGTGTGTGTGTGTATATGCATTCCTGCATGCATCTGTGCATGTGCACACATTATTGTATGTATATACTGTACATAAATGATGCATTATAACTGCAATTTCGTAATAGGTAAATCCAATATATGTTTCATGACAAAGAAGCACCAACAGGTAGCCTGAACCTCTTCATAGCTGCCCAGTTTTCTTTATGCTGGAT